GGGCAAGGTGTACAAACCAATATGCTTCGTGTACGTGCTGTAAATCAAACCTGGGGTAAACTTCCGTATCTGTTGGCACAAACAAACGGATGAAAATATTAATCGATACATCAATTATTCGATGTATCGTTTGGTTAGTTAGGTAAGGTTAACCTAACCTAACTACACAAAATATATATCGAATGAAACAATCGATATTTTCATTCGGTTGTTTGTGCCAATAGTTACGGAAGTCTACCCCAAACCTTTTCCTCCCTCATTGAAGTTTAAGACATTTACTAGACTATCAACACACCCGGTATATATATTTATAGCTGATAATTAGACACTTTAAAATCCAAAGGTAGATTACATTTGTTTATAAACATAATGCATCATAATCTTCAAGCTACTCAATCAATTATCACAAATACAATGGGACAATTGGTGATAATGGTGGAATAATCGTTGCAAGTGGATGAGAGCTTCTTGCATATTAATCTGCGTCACTGCTAATGACATTAACACCACTTGATTAACATTACATATTGTTTGGTCATGGAATAAGTACAATTAGTGCCCATCAAACCTATCGTATCGACACAAAATAAATCCAAAACCCAGACACAATTTAGTTCACTGATGGTGAATTAAAAATATATCATTTTGTGTATTAGCTTCCGGATTTCTTCACAAATTGTGTACAATAAGGTGTTACCTTTTCCCTGTCAAAGCAATCCTAAAGTCAACACATGGGGACAAGTTTCGATGCCCATAGGTCGTCATTTGGCTTGTTTAAGACTTATTTTACCACCTAAAAGTAATGAATGTTACGTCCAACTTGAAAATGACGCCATAAACGTCAAAATCGGTCGTCATTAGGTGACTTTAGTCTTGGACAATTTTTAACTACATAGAAAATTTTTAAAAAATTGGATGTATCTCTAAATCAAAATTTGTATACTTGTTTAAAATTGTAGAAAGTTATTGATATCCATATTTATACGAATGCATTATTTTATTACGATGTGTTAGTTAGAAAATGTCTTCAAAATATATTACAAATTGTTGATACATTTCACACTGTTTGAATAAGTAGTGTACTTTATTTGATAGTGGTGGGTTGTAATAAGGAGCATATAAATAATAATAAATATTTTATTGCAGCTTCTCTAATAAAACAGATTAACATATTTCCATGCCGAGGTTACAATTTTAAAATCAATTGTTAGTACATATCCTTGTTCGTCAGTAAATTTTATCACCTAATCTTAGTTTTATTTAAACAGGTTTCCTATGCATATATTGTTTTTATCAAACTAAATTACTCCATAGCGTACTGCTAAAATCATACGTTATCATCAATTACACCACTATGTTTCATTAAAACTTTTCATTTTAAATATCATCCCCAGGTCCTCTATTTTGCTTACCATTTCTTGTTTTGTTCTTACAAAACCATTATTTTATAAGGTTATAAAAATCCCATACACAAACCTTTAGTAATAAAATCATTAAACATTCAACTAATATATTTAGCATCAACTGTTTAGTTTAATAACCTTAGGCAAATCACTGTAAAATCATTTCATCAGACTTTCCTTTAAGGTATTTAACTACCGTGTTTACCTGATGTACAACTCCGGTGTAGCGACATCATAATGTATCCGGTTTCCGAACATTCAAACTCTCGATTTACATTTAAATGCAACGTTTAAGTCAACCCTGTATTTATGTAAGTTCCTGTTTCCTTTCTGTTATTTATAACGGTTAACATTCTTTCACTTTCTTACTTTTGAAAATAAAGACTGAAATAGCTTCAATAACCGTTAGTATAAATAGCACAGTCGAGATAGTTCATAAATTTTAATATTTGCACACTCAGTATAAAAAAGTGCTTGAAAATGTTGGCAATATAAATAATAGCATTATTTTTATGTTAAGTAAAGCTGTAACAAAATGACATCCATTTTTTTATCTTCTACTTATTTCGCTGGTTTATACGTGTAGGATTATTGTTACCAGCTGAGTTATGAAGTATGAATCATCTGCTATTTGGTTTGTTTACATTATTTGTTTAGTTTTTGTAAATAAATAGTTTTGGTTGAGTTTACTTAAAATGAGTTTTAATAATTAATTATTCTATATTGGCGACGAGAAAATGCCGAGGAAAACAGACCAGTCTCAGTATAGGAGTGTAATTGACTGTAGTAACATGACTTGCATACAAGATAGAATGAGCAGATTTTCATTTAAAGAGTATAATAGTGAACAATTGTGGGAAGACTACATAGCTCGTTTTGAGTTGACCTGCAGAGTTAAGGGACTGGGTGGTGCTAACACAGAAGAACAAGCGGCTCGGCGAGATCTTCTATTGGCAAATATCGGAGAGGAGCACCTCAGGGCACTGTCGGACCAGATGTATCCAAGGGCCTGGGAGGAGTGCACCTACGACGAAGTCAAAGAGGAAGCCAACCGGTTGTTCAAGCCTACAAGGACCCTTTTTGCAACAAGGTTTGAGTTCGAAAGAGCAATAAGAAAAGATGGTGAGACATTTATTTTGTTTTATAACAGATTGAAGTCTTTAGCTAGAAGTTGTAAATATGGAGATAGCTTAGATGAACGAGTACGAGATAGGTTTGCAGTAGGAAGTAACTGTCCAGAATTTGAAGTCGAAGTCAGACAAAGATGGCCCGAGGGAGTTAATAACCGAGGTGAGCGTGTTAAGTCAACAGTAGTACTAGAGTTAGCTCAATCTATGGAACGAGCGAGAGAAGAAGTTTTTAAACATTCGTGTAAAAGTGAGATTCTTAAAGTAAGTGACAGTAAGGAAAAGAGGAAACCAGAGGTACAGAAATCTACTGGCTTCAATAGGTGTTATAGATGTGGGTTTACACATGACCCTAGTGAAGATAGGTGTCCTGCTATTTCTGCTGTGTGCAAGAAATGTTCAAGGAGAGGCCACTTCGCAAGAATGTGCAAAAGTAAACATAACTTTTTCAAGAGAACAGATGGTAATTTGAGAAAAGTAGATGATTCTTGTGATCAAACTTACGATGATGAGTGTAGTTCTGATATTGATGTTAGCGGAACACAAATTAGGTCTGTCAAGAGTAAGGTTCCCAGAGCTACGATAGATGTAGAATTGAACGGGTATAATGTTAGAATGGAGTTTGATTCAGGAGCTCGGGTAAGTGCTATAAGTTTGTCTCTTTGGGATAAGATCAATTCAAGTGGCGAATCTCTAAAAAAGACGTCTGATGTAATCACTGGCTATGGGAAAAATAAGCTAGAAGTCATGGGTAAGGCTTTTGTGGACGTTACTTTACGTAATTGTACTAAGCGATTGCCAGTTATTGTACTACTAGAAGATGATGTTCCATTATTTGGGTTGCCGTGGAGTGTAGCTTTCAATCTTAGTTTGCCTAGGGAAGTAAGGGTTAGGCGTATTGATAATGGAAAGACAAATAGTAAAGAGACAGGCAAGAATGAAGAAAGTTGTGGAAAAGAGTTACAAAAAGAAGTTGTGACATTAACTCAGGAGTTTTCTGAACTCTTTCGTGATGAGCTAGGAACGATATCTGACTCTAATGAAGTTATCCATCTAAAAAGTGGAACAAAACCTGTATCTTACGGGGCACGACGAGTTCCATTCCCCTTAAGGGAGGCAGTGGAGAGAGAATTACGGCGATTAGTACAGGAAGGAGTTTTGGAAGCAGTGGATCCTTCCGAAACACCGATAGAATGGAGTACCCCAACAGTCAACGTAGACAAGGGTGGAGGTAGAGTCAGAATCTGTGGCGATTTTCGTACAACCTTGAATCCAAACATAGTTCCGGAGAGACACCTCTTGCCGACCTTTGATGACTTGACTTCCAAATTAACTGATGGAAAGATATTTTCAGTGATAGATCTTCGAGACGCGTACTTGCAAATGAAAGTACACCCTGAGTCACAAAAGTATCTTACAATAGCAACTCATGTAGGCTACTTTCGCTACAAAAGGTTGCCTTTTGGTCTTTCCTCAAGTCCAGCAAAATTTCAAAGGTACATGGAAAGTTTACTAAAAGGACTTAATGTTGGAGTTCTACTTGATGATATAATCATTTCTAGTAAGGATACGACCACCCATATAACCACTCTTAGAGAAGTTTTGAGGTGGCTAGAATCAAGTGGAATAAGAGCAAAACTGTCAAAATGTAAGTTCTTTCAGAAGTCTGTAAAGTATTTAGGTCATACAATAGATGGGAATGGTATTCATCCCTCCGAAGACAAAGTTGAAACCATAAGACACGCACCAAGGCCAAGAAACGTGAAAGAATTACGAGCTTTTCTAGGGGCACTAAATTTTTATGAAAGGTACATACCTAATCTTCATGCGATCGCTTCGAGCTTGCATAAGCTGACTGGTACGAAGACTAAATGGAAATGGACTGACACCGAACAAACTACGTTCGACAAGTTGAAGAATATCCTGTCATTAGAGAAGACATTAGTCCCATACGACATATCAAAGCCGATCATTGTTGAATGTGATGCTAGTGAACAAGGGGTGGGTTCAGTGCTGTTACATTTGATGCCGGATGGAACGGAAAGGCCAGTCATGTACGCCTCGAGGACACTAACGGAAGCAGAAAAAAGGTATGCTACAGTTGACAAGGAAGCACTGGCGTTAGTTTTTGCCGTGAAGAAGTTTCGACAATACCTCAGTGGAAGACATTTCAAGGTGAGGACGGACCACAAGCCACTTGAAAGAATATTTGGAATGCATCGAGATCTTACCAAAGTAGTAAACAACCGCTTGGTTCGTTGGGCTTTGTATTTAATGGAGTATGATTTTGAGATCCAGTACATCAAGGGACAGGATAATTGTGTGGCTGATTTTTTTGTCTCGGTTTTCACTCAAGACACAAGAAGTATTAGATCCAGATGAGAGAGAGATTCGAGCATTGGTTCAGGAGAAAATTGACGTAGTTTATCAAAATCATGAACTTGTAAGAGAGTATAAGAAAGACCCAAATATGAAGAAACTTACAGACTACCTGGAGCATGGTTGGCCAAAAGATACAGAAAGCTTGCCATCATCTATGAAACCATATTGGAATAAGAGAGAAGAGCTGACATTAGAAAACGGCATAATCATGCGATTAGGAAGAATTGTGGTGCCACAGATTTTGAGAGAAAATGTATTGAAAGAACTCCACAAAGGACATCCTGGAATAGAGGCCATGAGATCCCTATCAAGGTATTATGTTTGGTGGCCTAATCTGAATAAGGATGTTGAGGTTTATGTCCGTAGATGCCACCCTTGCCAGAGTAACCGATCATTTGACACAGAAGTGCCTCTATATCCTTGGAATGTGCCAAGTGATCCTTGGGAGAGAATTCATCTCGACTTCGCAGGTCCATTTGACAACCGATTCTGGTTAGTAGGAATCGATGCTTACTCAAAATGGGTTGAGATCGAAGTTATGGACCGTACGACAACTGCTGCTCTTGTAAATAGATTAAGGACTTGGTTTTCGAGGTATGGTATTCCTAAAAAAATTGTATCCGATAATGGCACCCCATTCACGTCCCATGAGTTTAAGACTTTTTGTAAGAACAATAACATATGTCATGTCACATCAGCGCCGTATCATCCAAAAACCAATGGTTTAGTGGAGAGGATTATCAGAACCTTCAAGAGTCGATATAGTGCTTGCAAACAAGAAGGTCTCAGTTCATCACTTGCACTTTTACAAGTGTTGCTTGCTTATCGAAACACCCCACAAAAGACCACAGGACAACCACCATCAGTCCTTTTCTATGGCAGAAGATTACCAACAGCTTTGGATAGGTGGAGGTGTAATAGCAGAGAGAGAATAGAAAATCAAGTGTGGCGACAGAAGTACTACCACGACTTAAAATCCAAACCAAAGGAGTTTTCTGCCAAACAAGAAGTGTGGGTTCAAAATGAAACGAAGAAGGGCTGGAGACCAGGAACAGTACAAGAAAGGACGGGAGAGCTGTCGTACACAGTTGTAGTTGGGGGAGATGTAAAGAGAAAACACGCTGACCAGCTGAGAGCAAGAGAAGGTGCAACTGATCCACCTCAATGGAAAATGCAAATGGAAACTGAAAATGATGATGTACATAGTTTCGGAAACTCAGCCTAAATTGGGTGGGGAGAAATGTAGGATTATTGTTACCAGCTGAGTTATGAAGTATGAATCATCTGCTATTTGGTTTGTTTACATTATTTGTTTAGTTTTTGTAAATAAATAGTTTTGGTTGAGTTTACTTAAAATGAGTTTTAATAATTAATTATTCTATAATACGCCAGTGGCATTTTTATCATGGATTTTTTGTACTTTAGAATGAAACCGAACACACCTAGTAACTATAACCTAACCTAACCTAACCCATGAGTGGAATATATTTTAGGTTAGTTTAGTTTAGGATGATTTTGTTATTCAAACTAATCAAAATCTTATTAAAAAGTCGATTTATCGGTGAGGTCGGTATAATAACAAAGTACCGAAATTTTGTAAATGATCAGAGTACCTAAAAGATAAAATATTATAAGAAATATATGTTGCAGTATAACATTTTAGCTTAATCTTGAATTTAGTATACAATGTAAATTCTCGGACTTAAAATGATACATTTTACCATCGTTTGCATGTTTAACTAAAATAAAATAACCAGTTCACATTATATGTCCTACTTACAATTAATTGTCGTATTTCTGTGTTTTAATATTTTCTTAAACAAATATAATATTGGTTAAAAACACGATAGCATATGCAAAAAAAATCACTTAACAGTAAGTAGGTTATCTTATTTTCGTACTCTTCATAAAACATAACTTAGGCGTAATCTCCAAGCAAATTAAACATAATCAACGTGTTTGAGAAATAGTGTGTTATAAAGATTAATATTATTCCTTGTCTTAACTAACAAAAAAATTATTAAATAAAGAGTATGTTTACAAGATTAAAATTAGTTTCATTGATACACAACATCTTGCGATGTTGTGTTTGTCAAGTCAAAACATATCTTTATTATACCTCAGAAATATTAAAGTTAGCCTGATTTATAAATGGAAGCAGAACCTGTAGAAAAGACTTATAAATTCATTTTCCTGATTAAACATCTCTATATATTCGCATCGTTCCAAATTTAATAATAATTTACCAAGTCATATTTATTTAAAAAGATTAATTTATATAAATCTTATAGAGCTCTACAAAGAGAGTATTTCCTTGAGCCAAGTTGTAAGAAGTAACCAACACCTTGTGAGGTGTAGAGATGTACGTGAGCTACATTTATTCATTTTATACGTTATTCTCACATGATACTGTGCTTGTAATATGCACAAGTACACTTGTCCTTGTTTGAAATCGTGTGTTTATAAACAGGAACTCCTAAATTAATAATAAACTAGATACTGAAAGTAAGGTTATAAAATTAATAACAAATGCCTGACAAACATAAAACAACTGACTAATAATTTATAAACTGTGTAATATATTCTTCAATAAGAATTGTATTTACTCATCCTTTGAAGGACTGAAGGTCGTAGCCCTTAGATTAAACGTAAATTTTATAAAAGCCAACTTGCAGTATCCTAGGTCTAGGATAACATTGTGTTTAAACTATGTCATACATCCGTTTAGCTCTGAATAAACCCCAAAAGAATATCAAAAATCAAGTTCGATCAAAAAAATATTCTAAACATGATATTTTAGTGTCCATTAAGTCAACCAGGTTAACAATAGTTAAAAGAAAGGAAAATTTAAGAAACAGCTAAGTGCGTAAGAAATTACTATATTCTCAAATTCCTTTCAAAACTCAGTTTTAATGGAGACTTCTAATTTATTATTGTATTTAATATCAAGAATTCTTGTATACATTGAATATATATATATGTTGCTATTCTATATGTAAATAAATAGTTTTAGTTTGTTAACTATTTACAAATTAAGAAATGTCAATTATTAGTCCGTACAATCGATGCATTAGTATTTATCATTACTGCAGTAACTTTTCCCATTGTAAGTTTCTCAATCAGACATGGTGGTCGTCAAGTAGATGGTCAAACTTTTATCACTTTTGTTGCTTGAGAATTAAACATCTGTTTATTGAGAACGAAAACTAAAACCAAATATTGGAGCTTTTAATATGACAAAGGTTTTTGTTTTGAAAACTATGAGCATATATCTATACGATTTACTACAGATTCTATTATTTTATTTATTTTTATTTTTAGAATGTAACATAGTAAAAAAATTTCAGTATTTCAGCATTATTTGACACACAATTTATAAAGGAGCAATGTATTAGGACTCATAAATGTAAATGTATGTATAGCTATTTAAAAATAAATATATTACTCCAAGCTATCAGTTGTGTATTTAAACGTGTTCACGATACATTTCAAACAACATCATAAACTCATCACTATGACTCATTGAAGCTTAATGAGTCCAAATAATTAAAATTAAATGAATAAAATAAAAAAAAAATTAATTGTGTTACGTAATAGAGATAAGTGTAATACAATTTATTATCACATTCAAATCACAACTAAAATAGAAATGTGTTTGAATTTTATTAAGAAAACAATTTATGATTTTAATAACACACTGATCAATTAATGTCGTAAGCTATACTGATTATAAAAGTAATAAATCAGGAAAATTTTGTATATAGTGGTACAATTATCTCTTCTCATGAATAGTTTTAACATTGCAAATACAAAATTGTATTTTCAGTGGAGGCATTTCGTGATTGAGAACTATATTAAAATAAATAGTTTATTGATTGGTGGGAAAAAGGTTGCCAAGGAAACGTAAATAAGGTTACTGAACAAGAAATTCCTTAAACTAGTAACACATGACATAAAACATGAACCCTAAAAACGTAATCTACAAGCAACCTTTGACTGATGATTGTTCAGTAATCTTATTTATGTTTTTTAATTAATCCTAAAGGCACATTATGAACTATCTAGGAAATGACACCTTAATTTTTTTTTTTTTATATAAGGAGCTTATTACATAGTAAAATAAATGTAGTAATGCTATTTCTATTATAGTTGGTAATAAATACAATTTTTATAGTTAGATTGTCCCTATTTATGTAAAAAAGATTTGCATTGCAAAAATTGACGTTATTCGTTGCTTGACTATTTATATAATTTAAAGACTTATAATTTGTTTATAAAAATAGAAAAAAAACATGAAAGTTAAGTTGAATAATGTAATAAAATACAATAATAATAAAGATAAGTACTCTTTACTGTGCAGCACAACTCATAAGTAGACTGGTCGACGGATCCTTAGGTTCCGGTAGGTTTTAATACTCATGACGATTTTTAAGAGAATGATCGCAGTTATAATTACCATCCTCTTGACCGTTGACCATTATTTCTGGATAGGTCGCGTCAGTAATGATACAAATATCATAAAACTTACAAATAAAAAATACTTCAACATATAATTATTATTAATTAATTAACTTGAGTGTCTGGCGGCATACAAAATATTTAAAAAAACTAACTTGGCATCAAATTAATCGTCCAAGGAATAAAAGCTCTGTTGGCAACACCACGACTTTAACTTCGTTTTGAACAGTTTCGGCTCCAGGTTCTTAATGTTCTCAGGCATACTATTAACAATCTTACAAGCCAGTAGTGGGAAACTGTCCTTCACTTTAGAAGTGCGGCATCTGGGAATAGAGATCAGGTTGTTGTTTCTCAGATTGTGACCGTGAAGCTGCCCTCTTATTTGAAAATCAGCTAAATTCTCTTTAGCGTAGAGGAGGGAGCTCAACACGTAGTTCCCATAGACTGTCAGGATGCCAAGCTCTTGAAATAAAGGTTTGCAGTGTTGCCTATACTCGGCTCCTATACTATGTTAAAACATACTAAACATATAATTGGTATTTTTGTATTAAACTGGTTATCCCAAATTTTGTGAATAAGATTTATTCAGCCAGATTTAATATTAAGCCGCAGTAAACATATTATTATTGGTTATCTGTTTAGTTACATCTGCTAGATATAACATTCCAAATAAAAAATGTGACTAGATAAATAAAATAGTAGGGTATACTATTTCAATGAACACCAGCATACTTTTTGACATTACTTACGTGTTCTTTTAAAATCGATTACTACATAAAAATTCCCTAATCGAAATATATCTCATGAATGATATCGATGATTCGCATCAGCATTGAATGAGGTAATGGAAATGTTATGTTCCATTTCCAAATAATTAGGGCAGTTTAATTTCTACTTGTTTTAAACAACACATTAAATTAGTCCATTATCTTTATGCCGAATTCTGCCCATAAAGTAATGACTTCTTGCCGTAAATCTTTGACAGACTGACACATTGTCATTTTTATAATATTATAAATAAATAAATTCAATGAAAATTGGTTTTAATAGTAGTTTTAACTATTTTATTTTATGGTAAACGAATATTTGTTATTCATTTTCATGGTTAATTTTGATCTTACTAAAAAAAAATACCACGAACAACTGAAATAGTGAAAACATCATTCTACATTATTTTTTGGGCTTTAAAAGTCTCAGAATCGCAAATAATGATAACCGAAAAATAAATCACCTTTGCCTAAAACATAGTTAACAAATATTTAAAGAATGTGGGATGTTTTCATTTCACCTATTTGCTTGTTATTTTAATGGTAGAACACCACAACAATGAAAGTCTTTAATATTAGTCAATACGTTTTTTTTTTACTTTCTAACATATTTTGACGTATAACTTATAGTTTAGATATTGTTGTAAAGTAAATTACTTCGAAAAGAAGGCAAATGAATAACATTTCGAAATTAGGGTCGTTTCCAAATATTGAAGTATATATTTGACATTTATAATATTGTGAAAACACCAAATAAAACTTTTTAGGATGCCTTAGTTTTGCCAGAAAAATTATTATTCAGAGAACAAAACTTAGAGAGAATACCAGAATTTCATGCATTTTTACCATATTACAAATCAGTATCAATAAAATTGGAAGGTAAACCATGTGCATTAAATGTTGCCAATAAAATATAATTATTTGTGTTGAGCTTGAAAAGAAGTAATAAGTAGATTTTGTGAATTCTGCATAAAATGCCCGGGTTTTGGCCAATCAAAAA